CCCCAAAACCCCAAAACCCCAAAACCCCAAAACCCCAAATCTCGCATTTCGTTGACTTAAATTTTAATTTAAAGTAACTGCTAAAAATGAAGTTCAGGAGGACTTGAAATTACATTGAAAGTCGGATAGAGAAGTAAGTTACCCTAAATGACCCATTTCAGACTCAAAAGTGATCCCTTAAGGTCTCATCAGACGGTGTCTCAGGACGATCCTGAGCAGTATCAGACTCTGACTCGTAGAAGAGAGCACTCTCTCAAGAGGATAGAGATGGCAATGGACGATATAGAGAAACAATATAGCAAGAGAAATGTTATCAGTAAGGCGCCTTTTGGGCTTTCTGATTAGATTTTAGAAGATTACATTCATCTGGAAGCCAGAAGTTTATCAGATTTGTCTATTAAGAGATTCCAAAAGCATAAAATAATGAAAGAATTACTCAAAGCATTTCCTAATCTCCATCAGGAAAGGAAGCTGACCAGCTTGGAGAAAGGCAGAATGACCTTGAAAGTCCTCAATGACTGATGTGACTCAGGTCAGAGAAGGTTTAAAAGCCCTCCGAAGAACTACTATGCAACGATATCTCACCCAGTGAGCCAGAATACTGAGTATGCTGATTCTAAAATATAGAGGGGATAAGAAGGCAAGATTCTTCAGAAGGAATACTATCGAGGTCAAGGATAGTAACATCCTATCTCTGAATGTAAACACTGGCAAGGGAAAGACATCTCTTAGGGAAGCTCCAGTTGCACAAATGTTCAAGATCCAGAATAGCAAGAGCAAGAAGACCCTCAAGAGTAAAACTTTTAGTAGATATTTTAGAAATTCATACCAGAAGGATTGGAAAAGTGTGCAAAAAGTTAGCCCAAGGTAGCAAAAGCGCTAATACCTCTATTGCCAAGGACAGAGAGGTTCCTCAAAGGTATAGCTCCGTTATGATCTTTAGAGAAATTTTGATCCAGGAAGGAGATAAAGAGAATCTTCAGTTCAAAAAGTTTGCCAAAGTGCAGCCTCAGAAAAACAAAATTAGAATAAAGAAGAGCAAATCCAGGAGGTTTGTTAAGAAGAATAGGATTTAAGAGGATAATTTATACATTTTGACTCTCATTACAGGTTGTTGTTAATGTTAAATGAGCACTCTTTTCAATTTGGGGATTGAATTTAGGGGTTTTGGGGTTTTGGGGTTTTGGGGTTTTGGGGTTTTGGGG